GGTAGAGAGGCGGGAGTGTGTCCCTGGAGGTCCGGAGCCAGGACCCCAAGGCCTGAGTAGTTTAGCCGGGGGAGGCGCACAGTGAGTGGTAGAGAGCCGGGAAAGTGTCCCTGGAGGTCCGGAGCTCCGGAGCCAGGTCCCCCAGCCTGAGTAGTTTAGCCCGGAATAGGCTGACAGTGAGTGGGTAGAGAGGCGGGAGTGTGTCCCTGGAGGTCCCTGGAGGTCCGGAGCTCCGGAGCCAGGACCCCAAGCCTGAGTAGTTTAGCCAGAAGTAGGCTCACAGTGAGTGGGTAGAGAGCCGGGAGAGTGTCCCTGGAGGTCCGGAGCTCCGGAGCCAGGTCCCCCAGCCTGAGTAAGTTTAGCCCGGATTAGGCTGACAGTGAGTGGGTAGAGAGGCGGGAGTGTGTCCCTGGAGGTCCCTGGGGGTCCGGAGCTCCGGAGCCAGGACCCCAGCCTGAGTAGTTTAGCCCGGATTAGGCTGACAGTGAGTGGGTAGAGAGGCGGGAGTGTGTCCCTGGAGGCCCCGGAGCTCCGGAGCACCGGAGCCAGGAGGCCCCAGCCTCAATAGTTTAGCCCGGGAAAGGCTCACCTTCCCCGGGTAGAGAGCAGGGAGTGTGTCCCGGAGGCCCGGAGCTCCGGAGCACCGGAGCCAGGAGGCCCCCAGCCTCAATAGTTTAGCCCGGGAAAGGCTCACCTTCCCCGGGTAGAGAGCCGGGAGTGTGTCCCTGGAGGCCTGGAGCTCCGGACAGTGCCATGCTCCAAAATAAAATAAAATAAAATATAATATAATATAATATAATATAATATAATATAATATAATATGAAAGAATGTGAAGCGGAGTACCAGGCTCACCCAGAATATAACCCCAAAATATGACAGTGTCCACGCGGAGTACTACGCTCACAAGCAGAGTACCAGGCGCACGCTTTTCACCGCCGCCACGCGTCCGTGCGGCCGGGAGGGACCCGCCGCCACGCGGACGTGACAACTCCCGGCCGGTCGGGAGGGACCCCGCCGCCGCGCATTTCACCCCCGCCACGCGGACGTGACAACTCCCGGCCGGCCGGGAGGGACCGCCGTCACGTGTAAGAGGCAGAGTCTGGAGGAAGTGTAAAGCAGAGTACCAGGCACACCGAGAAAACCCGGAAAATATGACAAAGTGTCAAAGCGGAGTACCACACCGAGAAAACCCGGAAAATATGACAAAGTGTCACAGCGGAGTACCAGGCACACCGAGAAACCCGGAAAATAATGACAAAGTGTCACAGCGGAGTACCAGGCACACAAGCAGCAGTACCAGGCACACGAGCAGAGTACCAGGCGCACGGTTTTCACCGCCCCCACGTTGTTTCGCGCCCGGGAGTGAGCCGCCGCCACGCGAAATGCGCAACTCCCGGCAGGTCCGGAGGGAGGACCCGCGCATTTTTCGTGAGACGCGTTTTTTAAGTGAACGGATTTGGACAAATGATGGTTCTTCGGAACCGGGACGAAGAGTGTGGTCGACGGGCATGCGAGACCCGCCATCTGAGGGCCTCCGCTCGGATTTATTCCCAGCGAAAGGCTCCTGAGCTTAGCGGGAGAGCGCGAAGGCGAGCGCGGGACGGTTGAGCCTCCCCCTCCGCCTGACCTCCGGGAAGCGAGGCCGAGACGCGCGGTCTGACTCGGCGGCTCCCCCACGGGGCCCCTCCGCGGACGCTGGCCGGCGCGGGCCGGTACCCCGGCGCCTATGCGGAGGCTGGTCCCCGGCGGACACGGTTTCTCGAGCCCTGCACTGAGAGGCTCCCCCCCAGCCCGGGGAGCTCGGCACAAGGACGGAACGTACGGACGGCCCCGCCGCGCGGCGGGGCGGTTCCGAGCGGACATCCGAGCGTCCGCACGGACGGAGCGCGTGCGCTCCGGCCGGGCGGCGCCGGATCACGCGCACACACACGGGGCTACCTGGTTGATCCTGCCAGTAGCATATGCTTGTCTCAAAGATTAAGCCATGCAAGTCTAAGTACACACGGCCGGTACAGTGAAACTGCGAATGGCTCATTAAATCAGTTATGGTTCCTTTGATCGCTCTACCGTTACTTGGATAACTGTGGCAATTCTAGAGCTAATACATGCCAACGAGCGCTGACCTCCGGGGATGCGTGCATTTATCAGACCCAAAACCCATGCGGGGCTGCCTCTCGGGGCTCCCCGCTCGCTTTGGTGACTCTAGATAACCTCGAGCCGATCGCTGGCCCTCGTGGCGGCGACGTCTCATTCGAATGTCTGCCCTATCAACTTTCGATGGTACTTTCTGTGCCTACCATGGTGACCACGGGTAACGGGGAATCAGGGTTCGATTCCGGAGAGGGAGCCTGAGAAACGGCTACCACATCCAAGGAAGGCAGCAGGCGCGCAAATTACCCACTCCCGACTCGGGGAGGTAGTGACGAAAAATAACAATACAGGATATCCCATTCTGTAACATGCGTAACATTACTCTGTCGGGAACCTAGAATGATCATTGTTGTCAGGATAGTTGGAGGATAGTTACCCGCTGTCCAGCCCTCTTCTGAGGGCTGGTCTCTTGCAGGGCATGGCGGGGCTTACTTGGGGGGGGAGCGGTCACTCCATTCAGGCGGAGTGTTGGACATGGTGGGCCCGTTTTGGGCATGACTAACCCTAACCAGCCTTGACTATTGCAGGACGGAGGAATCAAGTTGACACTTTTGTGAGAGGTATATTCTAACGCACCCTCTCCTCTTTTGTCTTCCAGATGGCGCACAGTCAGAGAAGCCCCGGTATGAAGCGCCTCAGGGATGGCTCCTCCTCCACCCCCAGACGGACGGTTAAGAAGCCGAGGCTGGCATGGGAAGCCTCCCCATTATATCGGGTCCACGTAGGACGCCGCTCCGCCATGGACTGAGGAGCAGCCCTAACAGTGTTGCTCTCTCACCGCGCCGCTCTACCCCCTGGAGACCCGTTAGGCTCGAAAGAAGGGTGCTGTTCCCTACTGCGTCCCAAGAGAAGCAAGTCTTCTTTATGTCGACCAATGAAAGAGTGATTGGGCGGCCAACACTTACAAACAAAGCGCTCCCGTCGGACACCTGGGTGGGACTGCGGAGCCCTTGGGTGCAATCCCGCTGTGTACTTTGCGACACGAATATCAAGACCCTCAGGAATGCTTGGCAGCACTTCCGGAGAACCCACAGAGCGAGACATGTGAACCTTTTATGCAAGGTGTGTGGCTCAACCTCGCCCACGGTGGCAGCCATGGCAGGTCACTCCTCCAGGTGCGGACTCATTAGACGGCGGATTATAAATGTTGGTGACCACGGCTGCAGCCACTGTGAACGGAAATTTCACACCAAAAGAGGTCTCTCGCAGCATAAACTGAGGGCACACCTGGGTGCACACATGGAAGCTCTAAGGGACCCAACCCCCCAGACTGCTCCGACAGTGGACAGTAATCCTGAGTGCGATACCCCGGACTCGAACGTACACTCGCTCTTCATGAGAGAGATGAGCCCCCCGACTGAGCCCACCTCGCTTCTTCCAATCTTTCTGGAGCGATGCGGATTCGCTACTGTGCCTCTCCCCCGCCAAATTAATGTGGAGACCCGGCGGTTCCTTAAGAAAATGAAGAGGAGATTGGGCATTATGTCCGGCAGAAATAGAAGGACCCCCAAGCAACCGGGGGCAAAATCGAAACAGGGCAATTATATCTCCCTTCAGAAACTGTGGTCCAAGTGTAAAAGGGACGCTGCCAGGCGGATCCTTGATGGTGAGACACGGGCGTGTTGCATTCCGGTCCGGGAGGTGGAGGCGGCTTATGAACGAATTTGGGGTGCTGGTGAGAACCCCGGGGCTCTGCGGGGTTTCGGGCTCCTTCCGGAAGCCACGAATGGTCCCCTGGCCGTGCCTATCTCCTCTCATGAAGTTGTTGAGGCCCTGAGAAGGATGAAATCGAATAGTAGCCCAGGCCCTGATGGGGTGCAAAGGGCTCATCTCAAACTTTACGACCCTAAGGGAACTAAGATGGCGTACCTAT